GGAATGGGGTGGTAGGTGCTGAAAGTCTTCCGGAAGCAGGACCCAAGAGCTCCAGGAGGTATGGCGCCAGTCAGACAGGTTAAGAGCTTTGCCTGCCAATGCCCCATGGCCCAGGACAAGCCCACATCTCCATGAGCATCTCAGAGCCTCCGCCTCAGGCGTGCCCCTTGCTGGCCTTATTTCCTGCCCCACCACACTGGTGGGTCCACAGGCACACCATGCACCATAGCAGCTCAGACTGCTCCTCTCAAGACAGGCTCTCTCCTACCCTTCTTGCCTACAGGTAGTGACTCAATGGTCCCTCAACACTCAGCACCAGGGCTGCCTCTTCTATGAAATACCCCCACCCTCCAGCTCGCACTCCCTTCCCCAGAGGGGGAAGAAGTCTGACACATGTGAATTTGAATCCCAGCCCTGCCATGTGTAGGTTATGTGGCCGCAAATATGTCACTAGATCTCCCTGGGCTCTGTGTCCTATCATCTGTAAATGTGAATAATAATGTCCCCCCTGCAGGGCCATTGGAAGATCAAACACTTTTCACAGAGCCCAACAGGTGGTGGGTGAATAAAAACTTCTTTCCATCCTTCTAGCATGTTTTCACTTTTGTTTTTTTTTTTTGAGATGGAGTCTTAGGCGGTTGCCCAGGCTGGAGTGCAGTGGCACTCAGCTGACTGCAACCTCCGCCTCCCGGATTCAAGCGATTCTCCTGCCTCAGCCTTCCGAGTAGCTGGGATTACAGGCATGTGTCACTATGCCCCGCTAATTTTTGTATTTTTAGTAGAGGAGGGGTTTCGCCATGCTGGCCAGCCTGGTTTCAGACACTTGACCTTAAGTGATCTGCCCGCCTCAGCCTCCCACAGTGCTGAGATTACAGCCATGAGCCACTGCGCCCAGTCTTCACTTATAATGTTTTTAAAACTTGGTAGAATACACACCACATACAATTTGCCATCTTCACTGTTTTAAGTGTACAGATCAGTGGCACTGAAGAAATTCACAGTACTGTGCAGCCACCACTGCCATCCACCCACAGAACGCTCCTCATCCTGTGAAACTGAAGCTCAGTGTCCTCATTGCACAGTAACCCCCCTCCCTCAGCCCCTGGCATGTCCCATTCTACTTTCTTTCCTCTGGCATTTGGCCTGGCCTCTGTGACAGCACTAGCCCCTTCTAGCTCGTGTTGCCAGTTGTTAAGAAGTCTTAACCCCACCGTAGGTCAAGCGGCATCTCATTCATCCTCACCCCTATTACCGAGGCACATGTTGATAATAGATGTTCAAGGGGAAAATGCAAAATGAACGAGGGAATGAGCACAGAGAGGGTCACGTGTGGGTTCATGGTTAAAGGCAAAGAACTTTGTGTCTGATTTTATGTAGCAGGTGCCCAGAATATATTGAAAGTCTAAATGATGACACGAGTGGTTTTTGTAAATGTTTACTTATTTTTTGAATAGGTGAAATATTTGAAATTCAAAAAGGTACAAAAGAATACACAGTGGAAAGTCAGTTTCCCCCAACCCAGTCCTCCAGCTTCACTGGAGGCAACCACTCTGGCCAGTTTCTTCTGCATTTTTCTGGAGGAATGTACACACACCACATGTGCACACACTCATACGTGTGCATGCACATGTTCACACAGCACACGCTCGCACTCTCACATGTGGAAGCATGCTTTACATACTGTTTGCACATCCTGCTTTTTCTCACTTGACAGATCTTTGGGATCCTTCTAAGATCGGTATATGGACAGTTTCCCTGTTGTCTGATAGCATTCATTGAATGATAAATTTATCCTGTCACCTGTTTACACCTGCCACAGGATTTATGTCATCTGTCACCTGTTGATGATCATTCAGGCCATTTCTGAATTCTTGCTATACAAGACGTGCTCAGTGAGCAGCCTCGGACACTCACGAATGACTGAATGCCTGAACGTGATCCCTAACGCTAGCCCAGTCTAACCCCTGCCTGGTCTCCCTGGCCCGCAACGCACCCCATCCTCCCAGGACTCCCACCTGCCCCCACGTGGCCATAGCTTGGGATCTTCCTCTTACTCCATGCCAGGTGCTGTGCTGGGCCCTAGAGTGTTTAGGCTGATGGGTCCCAGTCCTATCCTCCCTGGAGCCACAGCTCAGAGGAAGAGACAAATGAGGAAAGAGATATTTAGAAATCGAGTTTGAATGCTGGGATAGACCTGCCGCCCGAACTTTATGTCCCTTCCCCGACACCTGGGGAGCCACAGACTTATCCTTGATAACCTTATCCCCAATCCAGGCTCCCAGGGCAGAGGAGGAGGAAGGGAGGCGGAGGGGTGTGGGGCCAGAGTCAGATGGGACTGAATGCCGATCTGGCTGCTCTTCCCTGCACTACCCAGGCCAGGCCTGTCTGTCTGATGCTGCCTGTGCCCATCGATTCCCCACTGTGTCTTGGCTGCCTGCTCTCCCTCTGGGCCCACTCTGCCAATCCCCATGTCAGGACCCTGCCACCTCACTGTCCTCCTCACTTTTGAAACTAACTAACTGTCTCATTGGAAGGGCTTTTCCACCCTTATTCTGCAAATTAATAGCTGGTGACAGTGGGAGGGGAAGGCAGCATTAAGCCATTCAGATGGTGGGGAGAGGGCAGACACTGCCTCTACACAGGTTATCCTCTGCCCAAAGGAGTGAAGCCAGTGCTGACCTCTGGGCACCAGGGTCTGGATCCCAGGAAGCCTTTTGAGCTTCTTCAAAACCCACCATTCAGAAGCTCTCAGCCTCTCCCAGTTCACTGGACAATGCTCTTCCCACTCAAAATACCCACCCCATCTCTCCCTTCCCTGCCACACCTGCAGTCCAAGCAGTGTCTCCGGGTTTATTTTCTGGGGTTATAAGGCTCTGCACCTCCAAAAACCCCTCATTCAAAGGGAAATGTCTCCGGGAAAGGCAGCAGGGATTTCTCCTTAGCATGGACTCAGGCCCCTTTATGAAAATGCGTACAAGAATCAGTTTTGATGAAGGGCATTAAGTAAGCAAATTTGGTTAAAATGTCCATAGCGGGTCCTCTGAGTAGCCAGAGGTGTAAGAGTGCCTGGGGTAAGGGTCCTGAAGGTAGAAACACAGGCGCTGGGGGAAGGGGCAGGGGAAGGCTGAGAACATCTTCTCAGGGCTCAGTTTCCTTCCTGTTTGATGTCAGCATGTTTTCAAAGGGGAGTAAAAGCACGAATCACAACAGCCAGATGATGGAAGCATCCCAAGTGTCTCACAGCAAATCAATGGATAAACAACAGTGCGGTGGCTCACACCTGTAATCCCAGCACTTTGGGAGGCCGAGCTGGGTGGATTGCCTGAGCTCAAGAGTTCAAGACCAGACTGGGCAACATGGCGAAACCCCATCGCTACAAAAAATACAAAAACTAGCCTGGTATGGTGGTGTGCACCTGTAGTCCCAGCTAGTTAGGAGGCTGAAGCGAAAGGATCACTTTAGCCCAGAAGTCTGAGGCTGCAGCAAGCCTAGATCATGCCACTGCACTCCAGCATGGGCGACAGAGTAAGATCCCATCTCTAAAACAACAATAACAACAACAACAACAACAACAGAGGTGTATACACACAATGGAATACATTTCGGCCTTAAAAAGGAAGAAAATCCTGACTCATGTTACAATGTGGATGAACCTTGAAGACATTGTGTGAAGTGAAATAAACCAGCACAAAGGCACTCTATGAGGTACATGGAGTAGTCAAATTTACGGACAGAAAGTAGAACGTGGTTGCCAGAGGACAGGAAGGGGGAAGGGGGAGTTGTTGTTAGATGGATACAGAATTCCAGTTTGGGATGATGGAAAGAGTTCCGGAGATTGATTGTACAACAATGTGAATATACTTTACAATACCTAACATACGCTTCAAAATGGCTAAGATGACAAATTTTACATTATGTTTATTTTATCACAATTAAAAATTTAAAACATGCCGGTTGCAGTGGCTCACGCCTGTAGTCCCAGCACTTTGGGAGGCCAAGGTGGGCGGATCACCTGAGGTCAGGAGTTCGAGACCAGTCTAGCCAATGTGGTGAAACCCCGTCTCTACTAAAAATACAAAAATTAGCCAGGCATGGTGGCAGGTGCCTGTAATCCCAGCTACTCGGGAGGCTGAGGCAGGAGAATCGCTTGAACCCGGGAGGCCGAGGTTGCAGTGAGCCAAAATCGCACCATCACACTCCAGCCTGGGGGACAAGAGAAAGACTTCATCTCAAAAAAAAAAAAATTTAAACAATGAAACATAAATATTTTCAGATGGAGGGATGATAGGAAGGTACCAGAAAGGGAAGGGGTGGAAAAGCTCTGTCTCTGCCTTGGGCCTGCCTATCACGGAGACAAACCCAGGCAGTGCAGAGCCCAGACCCCAAAATACCCCTAAGTGTTGAGGGCGTGGTCTGGCCTGGGGAGTGGCTGGATATCTGGGAGGGCAGAGGTGGGAACCTGAGGAAGAAGGACCTAACCTTGACCTCAGCCTCAGACCATGGGTCCCTGCTGCCTGCCTGCCTCCTACTGGGGGCCTGCCAGGCCCACCTGTCCCCAAATGCTGGCAGGCTCCCTGCCCGCTGGCTGCTTAGGGAGGTGCTCCCACTTCCCCTGCCCTTGCCTCTGCTCTATAGGGCTCCTTCATTCTTCAGGTAGGCTGGGGTCCCCCTCTGTGTTGGGCACTGTGGAAGCTCAGCCCTGTGAGACCCGGCCCTGGAAGAGCCCATGAGATGGCCAGAGATGGGCTTGTCTGGCTGGAAGCTGGGAAGAGGCTTCTCCAAGCTGCAAAGTTAAGCGTTGAGTACATAAAAGGGGAAGACTGGCATTAGTGAGAACATGGCCCTGAGGCTTGATGGACCCAAAGCCTCCCAGGGTGTGTGTGTGGAGGGTGGGAGCGGGTATGCACATGGGTGCGGGGCCTCATCTAGGTAATGTCTGCAGTCACATAGAATGATCTGACTCAATCTGTGTGTGAGCGCAACTGTTTGTGTGCCTGTGTGTGCGCGCCCACGTGCATGCGCGTGTGTGGTCCTAGTGTAGGTGATGTCTGCGGCCACACAAGATGCTGACTGCGTGTGTGACTCGTGGGCGTGTAGATGCAAGCACAGACCTACGACACATCTGTGTACAGGCTGAAGATCACAACGGGTCTGGCCAGGGCCCGCCGCTGGGCTCCGAGCTGGCCAGCACACAGACGGTTGGATGGGGCGACGCTTCCTGCTCCGGTCCCTAACTCATTATTAAGCTCCTCGCTCTTTGCAGACGCTCCCTGCGCCTCCCCCGCTCCGGGCTGCAGCGGCGCAGGCGCCGGGCCGAGCCGAGCGCCGAGCCGGGAGCGGGCGGCCGCGCTCCGGGCCGGGGTCCCGGGGGAGCAGGTGAGCGACCCGCGCCGCGCGGCCCCCACGGCCCTTGGCGAAGGCGCCTCCCGGCCGCGCTGCGCCGGCGCCCCCGCCTTCCCTGCCTGGCAGTCTCTGTTCGCCTCTGTTGGCATCCTCCTCCTCCCCCCTGCCTGGCATCCCCCTCCTCCCCCTGCCTGGCATCCCTTCTCCTCCCTGCCTGGCATCCCTTCTCCCCCTGCCTGGCATCCCCCTCCTCCTGCTGCCTGGCATCCCTTCTCCCCCTGCCAGGCATCCCCCCTCCTTCTCTTGCCTGGCACCTTCCCCTCACCTGGCACTTCCCCTCCTCCCTACCTGGCATCCCCTTCTCCCTTCCTGGCATCTTCCTCCCCTCCTCCTTTCCAGGTATCTCCCCTACTCCTGACTCTTTCCGTCCCCCCGCCTGGCACCTCCCTCCACCCCCACCCCAACCTGGTACCTCTTCCTCCTACCCCTTCCTTGCACCTCTTCCCTGACTGGCAGACTCCCATTCAGCCCCTCTGTGACAGCACCTCCTCCCCATCACTGCCTGGCATCTTCCCCTCCTTCCCTCTCCAGTACCTTCCTATCCTCCTTCCACCTGCATCTCCCCTCCTTCCCTCGTCTGGCACCCTCCTGCCTGGCACCTTCCCCTCCTCCCCCTGTCTGGCACCACCTCCTCCCATTGCCTGTCACCTCCCCCCTGCCGAGCACTTTCTCAACCTGCTCCTGCCTGGCATGCTCTGCTTCCTACTCCCCCTGTCTGGCACCTTCCCTCCTTCCCCTGCCTGGCATCCTCTCCCTCCTTCCCCTACCTAGCACCTTCCCATCATTCCCCTGCCTGGCACCTTCCCTGTCTCCACTTGCTACCGTCTTCCCTGGATACCCCTCTCCTATTCAGGTTGTCCCTCTGTCCCCCACCTTCCTGCAGAGCACTTCCTCCCAACCCTGGGCTGGTAACCCCTCCCCTATTGCATCGTCCTCTCATCCTCCCCTCCCACTGTGTCTCCCAGACCCCACCAGCTCTCCCATCCCCAGCACTCCCTGTCTCCAGCCTCCTCCCTTCTCATCCCCTTTCCTCCCAACCCTAGTCAGGGTTCATCCATCCGCAGCAGCCCCTTTTGTCCACATGGCTTAACCAGACCCTGAGCCACTCCCAAGCCCCACCTCTGTCACCCACACCCCACTCCTACAGCACTGCTCTCTTCTTGGCTCCCATGCCCCACGGTCTGCTCAGGGACTTCAGTTCATACGTTGGGTCCTGACCCAACAAGCTGGAGACCTTCCTGCTCTTCCAGCAGGGAAGGAAGCAGGGCAGGACTGGACAGAGCAGGCACTAGCAGGGACCAGGAGAGAGGTGCCTAGGCCAGCCAGTGGTCATGGAGCAGGCTGACTACCTGCCTGCCACCTCTGGAGTCCCTCCGTGCCCCTGGGCTCCAGGACCATCCCGGTTACCATCCTGACCTGCCCTCTGGTCTTTGCCTCCAATGCCCAGCTCTCTCCCTCCAACCATTGCCACACCCCAAAAACTGGCCTCTCCAGTCAGGCTTTGGGCTCTGCCTGGGGTCCCTGCTCTGTCTTTCAAGTTCTTTGTCCCTCAGGACCCTGGGGCCGGTATCTGTCTGTTCCCAGCACATAGTGCTCCCACCCACTCCCTGCCTTGTGCCACCCTAGACCCAGCTGGCCTGTGCTGGTTGCCTCCATCCTAGCCCCTTTGTTCTGCACAGCTTCCTGGCTTCCTCTGACCTCTGCTCCAGGGAGTTTGGCTTCTTCCCAGCCTCCCGAGGCCTCCTTGAATCTACCTTGGGGCTCAGGGTGTGACCTCTCCTTCCAGATCCTCAGAATGGCCCTTGGTGCTACAGGCGCAGTGGGCTCCGGGCCCAGGCACCGAGGGGGCACTGGATGACTCTCCAGGTGCAGGACCCTGCCCTATGACTCCAGGTCTTCAGCACCCACCCACCGTGGTACAGGTAGGTGCCTCCTCCCCTGCCAGCCCAGGAGCAGGAGCTCTGGGCCCCATGGAGAGTCGGCCAGCCCTTGGCCCCTGCTCCCACCACATGGCCCCTCCTGCCCATGGCAGGGCCTCTCTGTCCCTCTCCCCACCCCTGCTGACACCTGTCATTAATGTCCTTCCCTCCATCCCACACTCCCTTTTCTGTGTGCCCTCTCACCTCCTGGTGTCCTTAGGTCCTGCCTCTCAAAGCTGTTCTGAGCCAGGGACAACTAGCCTGAAACCAAGTTTTGGGTTCATGTGAGCATAGTCTGGGCTCTGGCATGCTCCACTTCCTCCCCACCCAGACACCCAGACAACACCCCATCTCCTCTCACTGTGCATGCAGAAGCGTACGCATACGTGCACATGCTCACATGCACACACACCACATGCTGTCTGCGAGCTGGAAGGAACCTGCTGATTCCTTGGCACAACTTGTGCTCAGAAACCTCTAAAAACCCTGCAGGGCCCCAGGCAGGGTTCTGCTTGTGGCAGGAGGGAGGTGGCAGTCGTCTATTGCACAGCCCGCGGTGGGAGCCAACCCTGCCCTGGCCCAGGCGCACCTCTAGCTCTGATGCACTCTGGGACCATTGCTTGCTTGTAGGGCCCTCCTAAGCCTCCTCCCCAAGGAGTGAGAGGAAGATGGTCCGCACTTGTCCGTATCAGTCCCCCCTTGTCCAGAAGGACACACTGAGGCTCTGGGCAGAAAAGTCACCTGCCCCAGAGCCCCACCCAGCATGGTAAGGGGTCGGATCTGAAGTCTGGTCTGAGCTCTGCCTGCCCAGCCCCACCCATCATCACGCTGGCTGGCCTTACCGGTGGGAGGCACCTGGCAACAGGGTAGGTGCTGTCAGGGCCTCAAGGCACGTGGAGCCCAGTCCCTGTCCTCAGGGCCTGCAGCCTTGGAGAGCAGCCTTGGCAATCGGGCACAAAGGGCCACAGACCACACAGGCCTCAGAGCACTGAGGAGGGAGATGTCAGGAAAGTCCTGGAAAGGTGCAATTGGAAATGACTCAGAGGAGCCTGAGGTTCGGGGAGGCCTGGGGCTGTGGGCAGAATGAGAGTGCTTTCTGCTTCTCCTTCCTCAGAAGTTGGCAGAGGAACTCATCCTCCTGCCAGGCTGCTCTGAAGGCCAGGGACAGCCCTGTTCCCCTTCAGACTCCCCCAGTGCCCCTCCTCCTCCAGTGAGGTGCAGGCCCAGGGAAAAATGGGGCAGAGCATCGGCTGCTGGGGAATCTGGCCTGGCCCAGAGGATCCAAGCCACACAGGGCAGCAGCAGGCACCAGTCACCTGGTACCCATCACCAAGGAAACACGCCTGGTGCCGCCATGCCTAGCCCCACACCTGAAGCCCTGGGCCACCTGCAGGAAGGTCAAGGCCTCCAAGCAAAGGTCCCACCCTCATCCCCAACACCTCCCCAGCACCTGAGGTGAACTGGGGACTGGTTGCTCAGTTTGTGGTGGTTGGTGTTTTAGCTGAAATTCATAAAGAAAAGGTGTGAGCTAATATATTAAACCAAGCACTCTACAGTTCTGGGGTGGCTGAGGGTAGAGGCCAGGTTGAATAGGGGGCAGGCTGATGGGAGGCAGCTAAGCTTCCTGCGGGGGTGCACCTGAAGTGGTCCCCCACATGGAGAGTCCTCCTGATACTTGACATGCACTGAGTTAGGCCCTAAGGGGCTCCCCAGCAGCAGTTGGTGGGAGCCCTGGGCTGTTCCAGACCTTTCCTGAAGGGTCACTGCAGGATGGGCACAGGGGAGGAGGGCAGGGGAGGCCTGCGAAGATTGGAGCTGGGGCCCTGGGGCAGTAGGTCCATCCTTGTGACACCTGGCCCCAGAGTGGCCCTGGCCATGAGTCAGAAGCCCCAGCTCCAAGAGTGACAAGGTGGGCTAAGTTTGGCACTTTATTTTGGAATCGCATTAACATGCAATCGGCGGTGTGCGTTGCAGGCTTTTGGCAGCCAGGCAGGCACTTGGGCATTTAGATGCTGACAGGCCTGGTGCTGGTGCCTAGGCATCCGTCCTCACCCCAAGCTGGCAGTGTGATTGCAAGTGATTAGTGAGAATTAAGTGGTGGAGGTGATGAGCTAGAGGTGTCACCGGGAGGAGGCTGAGACACCCCTCAGGGATGAGTGGACTTCCCTCAGCTGTGGCTGGACTCAGAACCATCTGGGGCCAAGCTGAGGCCACCGCCTGCTTCTGACGGGTACTTGGCTGAGGGACGTCTTGTAGGGACCATTGCTGTGTCCCCCGGTGCTCCTTGCTAATGAGGGGTGTGGGAATCCTTGGTGACTCATAAAGGACCATAGGGGAGGGCTGATCACTTTGGCCAGGCCCACCTTTTGGGATAGCACGTTCTGTTTATTGACTTTCCAAGCTGTGACACCAATTCTTGGCACCCTACACTTACTTCCAGGGATTTCAGAACGTGCCTCATGAGCATGTGTCCCACACAGGCCTCCTACTGGAACCTAAAAACTTGGACCATCTCCCATGTGAACCTTTTTCCCAGACCGAAGAGCGTTCTGGGCAAATGCCCTGGAGTGAGGGACACTGTGCCATGAGGGAGGGAGAGGAAGACACAGGGAGGCGTTCTTATGCTCTGCCTCATCCTGAAAAGGGTTTCAGGTGGTTTTCAAAGATACATATAGTGAGGAAACGGAGACAGAGATAGAGCACAGAAAACATGGTGTCGCCTAGGATGTGGCTGCGGCACCAGATGCAAACCATGAGGCCCGGAGACCCTGATGCGAGCAGAGAAGCAAGCAATTACATGATTTACACTGTGCATAAGATAAAAAATCAGACAACTTGCTCAAATCACTGTGATTTCTGGTCCCGAGCCCTTGGGAGGTCTCTCCTGTATGAGGAAATGAAGGGGATACCATGTGACAGAGTTACGCAATGTTCTCAACAATGTCACAACTGCTTCCTAGGGCTAAGGCAAGGACCAACACAATACTGCCCAGCCATAAACATATTGGTAATATTGCTTAACCCAAACTTAAAATTCGGAGCAACTAGAGGAGTGCATTACTACCTTCAGGAAATACCCTCTTTCTCTTTTGTAAGAGACAGGGTCTCACACTGTTGCTCAGGCTAGAGTGCAGTGGTATGATCATGGCTCACTGCAGCCTCGAACTCCTGGGCTCAGGTGATCCTGCTTTAGCCTCCTGAGTAACTGGGACTACAAGCGCAAGCCACAATGCCCCCTAGCTTTTGCTCTTTTTGTTTTGTTTTTATTTTAGTAGAGATGAGGTCTCACTATATTTCCTAGGCTGGTCTCAAACTCCTGGGCTCAAGCAGTCCTCCCACTTCAGCCTCCCACAGTGCTGGGATTACAGGCATGAGCCATCGAACCTGGCCAGGAAATACTCTGTATGTTGATATTTACAACCATGTTTCTGATAAATATCAGGCTGCAGGAAGATTTATTTGAAATTGGAAATTAAGTACAGTCACATTCTCCAGTAGGGGTAATATCCTTATAGGAAATAAAGAGCTCCTTCAGCACGTAGGCCCCACAGGTGAGTTTGGGTATGAGGAGGGACCAGCCCTGGTCTTTCCCCACAGGTCCTGAACCCATGCAAAAACAGGCACAGGCCTCAGTTAACTTAAGTGCAGGGAAAGTCGAGCTGAAGAGAGGCTTGAACCTGAGGCCCAAGTGTTGTCCTATTTCCTAACCTGGGTTTGCTTACCTGGGCACGGGAGCAGAAGGAGATGATCTGTGTCCTCAAACAGACTCGCCTGGAAGGGGAACACTGGCCACAGGATAAGCAGCTTTGCCTTCAGCACCTTTACCCCACCCTCCCGGGAGAAGGATTGTCCGGCTGGCGCAGGCCCTTACCACCTCATCGGACAGAGCCTCCTCCCACAGGGAAGAAGCGTGGGGAGAGGGCCAGGGTCATTCCAGCATCTCCTCTCCTGGGAATAGAGTACATTTTCCTTGTGAACACGTGAAGACAAGGGAGTAGGGCCCCTCCGCGGTGGGGTGGACGGGCCACATTGCTGAACAGTGACCTCGAGGCTCAGGTCCAGACCTGGAATGACCAAGTCCACCCCCTTTCTTATCTCTCCATTGGAACAATTGCCACATCCTTTTATTTGATGTTATTTCCTAGATAAGTGTCAATTCCATCCGCTCCTGATTGCCCACGTCACCGCCCTAGTCCACGCACTGTGGTCTTCTGCCGCCATCTGAGTGCCGCATACTCAGCCTTGCCTCTGCACCAGACCCCAGCCCAGCACTGTAACCAGAATGGGCTTCCTAAACACAAATTTGATTTGTTCCGCCTTCCACTTCCTTGTGGCTTCATTCTTGTGCCCTCACTCAGGGCCCTCACACCTGCTGTTCCCTGCACCTCCGACACCCTTCTCAGCTCCCTTCACCTGGCTAACTGCACTCATCTTGAAGTCTCCACTTCAGTTCCACCTCTTGCAGGGAGTCTTTCTCCCACCCTTGCTTGGGCGTGAGGACCACCCACTCTCTTCTGTCTTGCAGCACCTACCAAAGAGTCTCGTGCTGAGCTGTAGGGCTCCTTAAAGGCATGGCTGCATCTGTCTTGTTCCACACAGTACAGAAAAATATTTCTTGAATGAATGAACAGATGTGTGAGGCAGTGGACAGAGAGGGGATGGCTCTATGGCTGATTCTAAAATGAGCCCCAGATCCCTCTTGGTGCTGTCAGCCTCACCCTCTCAACACTACCACGATGCAAGGGGGGGCCTTTCTTGCCTGCCAGCCTTGTCCTGCTGTTGCCTGAGCTGCCCCACGCCCCGCGCCCAGCAGCCCTCCCTCCTGTAACTCTGTGGTTGGAGGAGTGCTCCATGCTCATTCCCTCTTCAGTTATTCCCGTGGTGAAGGAGAATGTCACTCCCTCTGATCTTGGTTTTGCCTTTTGGAGTTGCAGGGAGAAACCCCTTTCTCCCTCCAAGCCATCTGACCACCTTTCAACATTTGGAGGCAGTTTTCCCACAGG